GATTGGATTTTAGAATTAATTCCAAGATCTTATTGTTTGTTTCTAAATCACTAAATGGGTTGGTACCTTGTTTTTTACAAGTCTACACCTTCTCAAGGTCACTATGGTCCACCTAAAACCAGGCTAAACTGCTCTTTTTCAGCAGTAGCCCCTAAACTTTGGAATGAGCCACCTCCACAGGTCAACCTGGCCACCTGAAAACTCACTTTTAGCCCTTTTCCACTACAGCTCGACTCGCCTCAAGTTTACTCACCTTCTTTGGTTTTCCATTGGGGAATAGTTGAACCTGCTAACTGGTGCTTTTTTTCATGTCACCTCCGTCGAGGTTCTAAGCGAGCTGAGGCGATACCAAAAGGTGACGTGAAAACACTGCAGACTACAGATTGGTCAGATGAATCATCATCACTGCTCAATTTCTGCTGGGGCCAGTCTTTTCTATTTCACAATATCTGCAATGGAAAACGGAGGACGGCAGGCCAAAAGCGAGTTGAGCTGGTACCAGCGATTTAAAAGTGAACTTTTATTCCCTGGCTTTTAATCCAGCATGAGAGCTCTGGGCTCTTCTGTTGTTGCTTTTCATTTCTTCCATTTGTTTGTGTGTTGTCTATGTTTTTATGTGTTTTATTCCTGGCTTTTAAAATGTGCTATTTAAATTAAAATGGACTGGGACAAGTTGTTGTATGAAAGTTCATGGATGTTTGAAAAGGGAAGTTAACGATATGTTAATTTAAATAAAAGCATTAAACCTTAATGGCAGGACTTGGACAAACATTTAAACATTTAGCTTCGGTGCTTTACATCTCGGACTCCTCTGTTGGTGTCTAATGATGATGTAATGAACGGGGCCGCCTCCAGAGGGCGCCAACAGAACTGCAGTCGTTTCCTTTTTTTTTGTTACTCACTGGTTCAACATGCATGTGTGGGTTAAAGCACAGTGTTACCATTCTGTGTAAAGTAACAGTGTAGGTTTGGCATTCCTGCTGTTTACCATGACACCCCCATCATCTGCTGTCTGTCCCCTCCCCACCCCCCCGGCCCACCCTGACCGACATCAAACACTCCTTTGATAAGGGATGGCCTTTGTGTGTGTGTGTGGAGGGTTTGAAGGCGTTTCCATACCATAGAAGTAAAGACCTTTTTTTTTTCTTCACCTCATAATTTATTCTGCTGTAAAATCTGAGGTGGATTCAGGTTAGAGAGCCACAGAGATTTTAATGTCATAACATAATCCCTGCAGGAGAATTTAAGACTATTTCATTCACACACACACAGGAAAAAGATGAATTTAGTGTTAAACTAAATTTTTTGATGGTTTGAGTGAATAATGTTGAGGTAAAGTTGGATGTGTCTTCATAAACAGGACACACAGGGACTTATTTTATTATTTTAGTCTAAATGTGATGCAGATGGACACAAAGGTGTGTTGACCTTTACCACTCCTGAATTTTCAGCCACATGTTTTAAGCTGTTTTAATAATTTACTTAACGGTTAAGGGCTGTTACTGTTTCGTGTCTTGGTGTGCGTGTTAGTGCTTGTGCAGTCGCACGTCGTTAAATGTAAACACTGCTCGTGAGCGTGAAGCTGCAGACAAAGACAGGCCTGCTTTTGTTCTGCCATGACAGAAAAGGCCTCTGCAGATCCTGAAATGGCGGCCGGAGAAGAAACAGGCTGAGCGGGAGGGAGGAGGGAAAGCCCGGAGCAGAGCCGGAGCTCAGGACGGATCTGGATTCTGATCTGGTTTCAGGTTTTTCACAGTGAAATAAGCTCATTTCTCATCCTGAGCGACACAGATATCCTGTTTTATACATGTGTGACGGCTGAAATGAGCCTGAACAGCTCAGAAAGTTTGGTTAAATTACAGCTGACTTTTACTGACAGCAGAAAAGGAAAATGAAAGTATCTCGCAGCTGAATCAGGCCACGATGATCCCACACTGAGTCAACACCTGATGTGTGCTAAAGGCCTGGGTGAAGTCATAGCGGCCCATTTTAATAACAGTAAACACTTTAATCTGTATCATCAGGCTGCATGTTGTGTGAAACGTTCTTTTAAAGGGAAAAACTGGATGTTTCTGAGTCTTTTTGTGAATATTTACAATCAATTCAACCTGTTTTATGAATTTTCAAGAATTCACTGTCAACATACGTTAAAAGCTGTTAAACTTGTTGAATCTTAGCAGTTTAAACTCTATTTTTTACATTAAAGCCCAACATATAACATGGGATACGATTTACTTTGATGCCCGCCAGGAAGTCAGAGGTCACTTGATCTTTTTTTTTAAGTCCTCTTCTTCTCTTTCTTGCTGAAAGTTAGATTTTCAGACTTTCAGCCTGTACAGTATAAAGCCACAGCCAGCAGCTGGTTAGCTTAGCTTAGCACAAAGACTGGAAACAGGGGGAAACTGTTAGCCTGGGTCCGTCCAAAGGTAAAACAATCCTCCTCTAAGGCTCACTAACATGTTCTATCAGTTTGTTTAATCCATACTACCTGTGGTGTTTGTGTCACCGTAAGGTTTCAATTTGGATACTTCTGTTAATACACTGTGTACTCTATGTACTTACCTGCGTAGAGCGTACATTTCAACAGGGTTGCGTTGTCTCAATTAAAAAGTCTCTGTTGTGCACATAGTTATGACGATCACAAGATTTGACCGCCTCTTCTTCTTCTTCTTTTTCCATTTGAATAACTACCAGCTTGTTTGCTCAATTGACTTAATTTAAAATGTATAAAATATGAATTAAAATTAACGTACTTCAACTTTTATGATCGAAGCCTCTGCAGTTTCCTCGGCCGCCATTTTCAAGTTTAAAGACACGTTGGTCGTCCCTCCCCCTCCACCACGAAGCCAAGATGGCGGTGAGAAGTGTCCTTTGTGATTTGTGATCCACCATCAGGGGACTCACAGTGCGCTGCATTGTGCTGTTCTTGTCAGTGTGAACGCACGTTTACAGTCAGAATAGTAAGTGTGAGTGTTGAAGGACGCAAACTGTGACACACTGTTAATTTACCTTTGAACTGTGTTAGCTTTGTTGCTCCTGTTTCCAGTCTTTATGCTAAGCTAAGCTAACTGGCTGCTTGCTGTAATCTTATATTGTTCAAACAAGCATGAGAGTGGTGTCAGTCTGAACATTTGACCTTCACCAAGAGAGTTAATAAGTTTTCTTTCCCTGTTCCTTTAATGCTGCTGCACAGTGTTACACTTTTAGAGTCTAATGCTGCAGCTTCTTATTGTCACAAGGAATAAAAAACACGCAGAGCTGTAAATGCAAATAGCTGTAGCCACTGTTGCTGCTGCTAAAGTAACGTGCAGAGAGGACGAGGCGGCCTCAGAGCAGCAGAGCAGCTCCTTTTAAAGTAAGGTGGTGTTTATTCACAACCTCTCTCTCTCTCTCTGATTGTTTCATTTAAAAAGCTGAAAAGATTTCAGAGGTAAACGTGTCCAGCATTTCACAAATGAAAAGCAAACACGAGAGATTTATCTGAACTAAACAGCTGTTTAGGGCCCCGAACAGGAAGTGACTGTAATCGTAAACTCACAGTGGTTTGCTGTGGTGGAAGTAGTACTCAGATCCTGTACTGAAGTAAAAAATATAGTATAAAGTATAAATACCGTAGTCTAACAATACCCCATTACAAGTAAACGCCCTCACTTCAACATGTTAGATGAGTAAAGTATTCTCAGTAAAAGTAATTTCACGTAAGCAGATCATGTTTTTTTATGTGAAAACTAAGTGTCAAAATAAATGTAGTGGAGTAAAAGTATTTGTAACAACAAAGTACATTTTAAGTACCATAAAATTGTACTTAAGTAAATGTACTGCATTATTGTTCGCACCAACCGGGATTTTTTTTTAAATCTTTGGTTTTGAGGATGTTTGAGAGACTTTTTGTCAGATATTTTGGGATTGACCCGAAGATTTAATCTGCGGACAGCCAGTTTGTGATCCGGGCTTTCTGCATCTGCGAGTTCTTGTATTTTCCGTATGAACGATGCAGAACGTGTGTCGTTTTGCCAGATTAATTTATCCTTGTAGGAATTAAATTTTCATTGCTGCTGCTCAAAGAGGAACATGTTGGAGTGGTGGTGTGGATAATAAAATGTTCTTTTAGGTCTCAGCATGCTTTCATTTTTGTCTAATGGCGTCTGAAGCCACCTTTCTGTGGTCGCAATCAAGGGGCCTTGGTGTGGAGCTGGAGAGAGGAGTTGGTTGTGTTGGAGTAAAGTCTTGCTCGCAGTTCATCTACGTACACAACAAACTCCTCTCCAACGTTTCCACCGACGCCTTCCTGCAGCAGCTCGCCACATCTGCAATAAACTGAAATACTGACAGTTAAAAAGTGTGATTTGTCACGAATAACTAGTTTTATAACAAAAACAACTCCGTGCTAATGACAGTCAAATAGTCTGGTTGATCGTTTAAGGCTCTCCGTTTCTTGGCTCCTGCTCATACGTTAGACCTTTGAAGTCCTGTGTCTAGGTTTGGAAATAAGGGGGACAGAGCTTTTGCCGTCGGGGCCCCGAGGCTCTGGAGCGAGCTGCCGGAAGAAGTAAGGCTCTCAGAATCATTGTCGGAACGCATCCTGATTTTATCTGAGCTGTTATCTTAAGGTTTTAATTTTAGTTGTATAAAGTTGCTATATTATTCTTACAGTCAATCGTGATTATGATTTCCATTTTTATTTGGTCCTCGTGTATTTTTTCTTCGGTGGTGTTTCATGTCCTAGTCTTCGCACTTTTGTCTGATAGTGCTGTTTACATTTTATTATTATAATAAATAATGCCACATGCTGTATATTTTTAATTAGTTTTACTAATAATTTGTTTTGGTTTTTTTGCAGAATCGTCTCCTGTCTGCAGACGTGCTCCAGCAACGCTTGGTTTACCCTGTGTGGAGCACACTGGGGCCTTTAGGGCCACAAAAGCCTCAGTTTAAGGAAATGAAAGCTGCTTGTGATCAACCTGCAACCGCAAACAAAAACCCCATGTCACATCTGTCCAGACGTTTCACAAAGTTTATTTAACATGTTTATCTGAAACCAACTTCACTCACAACAGAACCCAGGTCTGTTTGATCATAAAAACTGATTTCTGAACACTTTCTTTTGATACTTTTGCAGAACCAGGAGTTCTGACAGTGAGAGTCGTGTAGTTTTTGTTTTGCTTTACAGGAACGTGTTTACTTCATCTGCTGCAAGAAGGAAGTACTCAGAACTTTCACCTCAGTGAAAACTTTACTTCAGTGTAGGTATGATCAGAGAGATCGAGTAAAATGTCTGAATGGCTCTGTTGTTACTGTCAGAGGAAAACCTCTAATGTGCTACATTACACCATTGTTACTCGTAGCAGGAAAAGTTATATCTCCAATTATGGGAATTTCCCTTCTTACGAATTGAAAAAAGTAAGAGGAAAAGAAAAAAAAAATCTAAAGCAGACAAACAGATCAGACTGATAAGAAGAGAGAAAGATAGAAAAAGAAAGTAAAGATAATGTTAGTGGTTAATAATATTTAATATAAAAACCTGAATCTACAAACAACAACTTCAGCCGTCACATGAATGCAGAGCCACATTTAAAAGTGAGGCTCCGACAAACATGAAGAGACATGAGGACCCATCTATCACTGTCAGGTCGTCCTCACAGAGAGGGAAAAACACACACACACAAACACGCCCTCCTTCCTTCTAAAAATAAAGGACTCGCCCTCTGAGACTCCGGGGAAGCACAGTCACTCCCTGCTGGAGGCTTTTTGGTGGCTGGAGGTTTGAGCTGTTTCCCCTCAGACCATACATGGAGTCCTGACTGCAGGAGGAGGAGGAGGAGGAGATGATGAAGGGCGCGAAGTCCTGAGAAAAACACAAACATTAACACAACAGGAACACAGCAGCCACTGTACGTCCAACTGTCTCTGCTGAGTGAGTGAAAAACACATTTTCTTCAAACTGAAAAAGATTCTCTTTGATGAGACGAGGTTTGTTGATCGGATTTTTCATTTCTTCAGAGTTTTAAAACCCATCAGTGAGCCTCACTCCAGCCAAGGGTCACATGATCCTTCACACACTGCAGTTTATTCTGTCCCACATACACCGTCCTGCTGCCCCAAATACTCACTACAGCACCACATGTAGATTCATCCGCTGCTGGAAATATTCCCCAAGAAAAGCACTGTTCCCTCCTGTTCGAGCAACGTTTGTTAAAAATAGAAACTACATAATTGTGATGTGTTTTTAGGGACTTACGTCTCGGGAAAAACCAGTGGGCTCGGAGCTGAGAGCCACAGACAGGAAGTCAGGGAGATGGGCTAACAGTTGACTAGGTTAAATAGGGTTAAATAGGAGAAAAGTCAGAGTAATGAGTTGGTTAGGTTGGACGTGTGGGTAAGAAACTGGACTTTAACCCAGGAGGCCGGTGTTTGTTTCCCGTGTGAAACAAAAAGTCAACACTGAAGTTATGTAGATTACAAAAGTTGCGCAAGTAACGTTACTTAACTTACGTAAGTTAGCTGATGTACGTAATGTAGTTATTTTAACCCAGACCCTGATCTTTTCTTAAACCTAACCAAGTCCTTTTGGTGCCTAAACCGAACCAAATTGTGATGTTTTCACAACATTAACAGGTACTTTAACTTTAACTTTATTTATATTTGCATATTTATTGTTGCTAACTTAACTGCGGAGCGCATAACGCAGAAATACGACACACAAGGGGTCCCCAGGGCGTTCAAAAGTGACGCCAAGGGGTCTTGACCGAGCGTCTGTGCTGTGCTGTTTTACAACGTTAACTACGTGTTTTGTTTTGAAAGTCTAACCAGACATTGCTTATTTAGTCTTGCAAACTTGAGCGTGGAGCCCTACATGTGCAAAAACGATGCTAAAATGGTACCCAGATCATCAAACTGCCCTGGGATGAGAACGTGTTGGGAACTTTACCAAAAACATATATCACGTGTCGAATCCCCTCAAAAGAAGAGCTACCAAAAACCGACTGCTTGATTAGAAATCATTTGCAGACGTTCCTGTTCCCCAGGAGATGAATCTCAGATGAAGTTCAATACAAGGTTCTTACAGTTTTTCATTTATCAGTAGTTTTTATTTTGATTTCGTTTGGACTTTTTGTTTGCAGTTTCAATTTAAAGCATGTTTGCTAGTTTAGTTTTTATTAGTGTTAGTTTTAGTCCCAACTTTAGCCCCTTGATGCCAGGTGGGGGGCGTGGACTAAAAACTGGCACAGCTTAGAAATTGGAAGTTATTGATTTCATATCCACCAAAAATACCTGGCTTATGTCGGACCTATGAAATAAATTGACATAGACAAAAAGACATTTACTCTATAAATTTAGTTTATTTTAGTTAGTTTTGCAAACAGAAAGCACAGTTTCAGTCAGTTATTGTTTTTTTAAAGCCTTGTTTTTATTTTTATTTCAGTTAACAAGAATGTTTTTTCACACCTAGTTTACATAAACAATTGTAACCTCGGGCTCCTCTTTTCACCCTGTGTTGAAGGCTTCATTTTAGCTATGGAGTGAGACATCTCGTCTCTAAATGAGCTTTGTTGGGAGTTGCACATGCTCAGTTCCTAGTTAAGGACTACTAGCCAATCAGGAGCAGAGAAGGGCGGGTCAGCGTGAAGCCGGTAAACAGCTCGGGTTCAGCTGTACGTGTTGCCGACCAGCTTGGCAACATGGACTGGAGCGAGAGTTTCAGAGCGGTGAGTTATTAATCTGTATCCATAAAGTTTTAACTGAGCTCTGTCTCTACATCACAGGAACAACTTTATGTCCACTGACTGCCTGGAGGGTAGCTAGTGTTTGGAAGGGAGAGGAGAGCTGTGTGCTGCAGCTCGCTGTTTCTGAGGGCGTGTCGGAGTAGCCGCTTGGCGAGCGTTATATGAGGCGCGTTTAGCTTTCATCCCTGTGACGTCACAGGGATGAAAGGGAAGCGGCTGGACTACTAACGAGCTGTTTTCAGTTCAGAGCAGAGTTTTCTGTGGGAGATGGGAACCTTTGTGCTGGACTTTGGCCTTTTTCACTTTGCAAACCTGTTACATGCACAAAAAAGTGATATAACTCAGTAAAGGAGAGGGGAAAAGCCAAAAAGCAGAATACCACCTCTTTAACAGGGAATCTCTAGTATAGTTTTCCGCTGTCTGGGTCACGGTGCGTCCGTGCAGGGCCGAGTAGAGCTGAACGTTTTTCTCCTGCTGCTTTTACCAAGACTGTCGCTCAAACAATCTGGATTCACGGTGAAGATCGTGAATAAGAGGAAATCAATATCGTACAAGGTTTGACTGGTGTGAAAGATGGGAAATCCAAAAAAGCAAACAATGGAAGGTTAGATTTAGAATTATGGGTGAACAAATAGGTTTATCTAATTAATTGACCAGTTTTGTTGTCTTTTTTTCTAATGTTGCTTTTATGCTTTTGTGTAAAGCACTTTGAATTGCCTTGTTGCTGAAATGTGCTAATAAACGTGCCTTTGAAAATACCTTAAAAACTATTTAAGACTATTTAATCTCTTGAGCTCAGTTTGGGGAGCCTCTTGTTGGGAACCACTGTGCTGGAGATAAAAATAAAGGAATATCACCTTAAAGTTTAAATGTAAAGCTCAAATAGGAAAATTCTGTTTACCAGGAACATACAACAGCCCTCATGTCAGTCTGATGAGGGAACATGACGACTGGACATGACGGTGTGGTGTTTTCTCCGGCGCCATCTTCAGGACAATGTCTTTATCCTCTCATAGTGCTCTGCCTCACTGTTGTGTCTCGCTCCAAGTTACTCATTTCTAGTGAATTTCTTGTGAAAGGGTGAGGTGAGGTAAAATATGATCACACATTTCCAGCAGCAGCAGCAGCAGTAGCGTTTGGGCTGCGCTCAGGCTCTTTCCTGTTCAAGATAAAAACAAATATTTGCCGTTCGTTGGCTTTGGGGCGGAAATGTGAAGAATGAGGAAGTGCTGGTGTGTTTGTGCGGAGCGAGGCGGGCTGCAGGAGACGGCCCGCAGGCTCTGATACAAGTCGGCTGGCCGAGATCACTCTGCACACTTCCTGTTTTTCTCTCTGGCAGCTTCAATCCGAGAACAGAAATTTACAAATCCCCGCTGTGACGGCTGAATCAGAGCAGTGAGAGTGATGACGGACACGAGCAGACTGCTGATCTGATTACAGCAGCACACACATCACTACATGTTTATATGTTGTAGGAGAGAACTTTCACAAACAACACACTAGTCCGAAGCCCTGCTAGCGCCCCCTGCAGGCTGCAGTGCTCATCACAGCCACAAGATAAACATACAACATCCTGATCATTTATCCATTTACACTAGTGGAGCTAACATGAGTCTACAGGCATGCGAGCATCTGTGTGCAGCTGTACCGAACGATAACATCAGCACAGCAACATGCTCACAGCGGTGCTAACATGCCGATGTTTATTTATGTGTTTATTTAAAGGAGAGTGCACAGATAAAGCTTGTTAAACCTCGTCTGGCTCAGTAAAATTCAGTTGTAGCCCCGCCCAAAGACAAACACAGAAAAATGTTTGAACAAATATTTTAAAGTAGAACAGATTTAAAATAAAAAACAACAAAGTTTAGAAAAGTAGCACTAAAGGAAGAAATAAAAAAGGAACACTGTATTATATTTAGGTAAGATAGAGTTGTATATATATGGATATATGGATAAATACAAATACACACAATAACAATGTACAATATCAGTGTAACATGCAAAAGCTTGAGGTAGCTTGCAGCACACTGTGTACAACATGTAGAGTCGTGTATTCCTGCTGGTGTGCAGAGGATCAACTACTCTCCAGATTCAAGTGTAAAGTTTGAGTTAAAGTGTGGCGATGGAGAAGAAAGGTCAGGAGGTCACCAAAAATCATTAGAAAGATAATTTACTGCCAACATTTTAACCCGTTTTTTAACATGAGTACATGAAGAGGGAGAAACTGCTGCAGCAGCTCGACCTCACTGAGCTTATCAATTGATGCCACCTCCTTCCTCCGAGTCTGACTCCTCCACACACACAGTTCAGGAAGGGAGGGGCGGAGGTAATTTGAGAAGCAGCAGACCGAAAAACACTGATTGTTGTGTCTTCTGGGTCCTAAAGTCCTTCAGACGTAAAAAAAAAAAAAATAAATAAAACATTTAACCTTAAGGTCTGTCACAGTGTGACCTTTGACCTCTGGCTGCAGTGATCTCACACTGAAAGGCGAAAAGGGATCTAGAGAACTGGGGCCGTATAGGAACTGATGTAGGAAAAAGGCCGTTACAGATTATCAGTTCCTAAGTCGGTGTTCATTTCCTAATTTAAGATGGGAAAAGTGTTTTACAGAAGCATCCTGACTTAAATAAACTCTCCTAACTTTACTTTTCCACCAGCTAGTGTTTAATAACTCCTTTAATCCACATGGCCGCTCTTTGATTGCTTTTACAACATCAACAAAATGTCAACAGGCAGAACGTATTAATTGATGCGTCTGATGACAAAACCCTCGTTAGTAGAAAGGCTGTAGGCGACGTAACGCCGGATAATGTCTCATTATTATGTCACATGCATGATGTACCAAAAGTAGCCCATCCTGATGCAAGTCTTTGATAGAAGGAGATCGTTTAATTCAAGAAATACATAAAAACATCATGACGTTAGCCCGCAGCCTTCATTAACTTTCTGGGGTTTCTGCCGGGGTCAGTGAGGGGGCACAGGAGGAGCCACCAGCGGGTTTCCTCTGGACACAACAGAATCAGCTGGATTAATCTCCCCAGCTAAGCGTTACGTGTATTTGGATTTCTCGACGGAGGTCACCAACACCTCTAAGTCATCTGAATTGTAGTTCAATGATAGTTGTTGTTCCTGCTCCATTTTTCAGTGCATGTTTCATTAAAAAAAACAACCAAAAAACAGAGTTTAAAAGCCGTTTTGCTCGGCGAGATGAGCAAAGTGGCATCGGTTGCTAGGTAACAGACATAAAACTTGGTAACGATGTTGGATTGAGTATTTAGGATTGGGAAAAATCCTATCTTGACTTTCTGTAATACGGCCCCAGAGGAGGTTCAACACAGTTATGCACAAAACAACTCCCCGTCGTCACAAACTGCGTTCATATCATCCTACGACTAATAAATAGGTCCTTCTTGTAGTTCTCTGAAGCCGTGGGGAAGAGCTGCATGTGGTCCAGTTCAGACTACTAAAACTCTTGGTTAGTAAAGGTCGGAGTTAAATATCCACCATCTTTCCCTTAAACCAAGTGCAACATGAAGGCTGTGTCTGAAATCACCCACTCCTCACTAAATAGTGGGCTATCTAGTCATTGAAGAATTAGAATTATTCTACGCCAAAGTCCCTGTACGCACGTCCCGCCACTCGGCAGCCATCTTGGTAATGCCTCCGGGAGGTTATTTCAGACTAACAAGACCAGGCCTCAATCTAAAAGAATGGGAGTAGAGCCAGAACTGCACTTTCACTGGTCACACAGAGATTAAAACTGCATAAATAGGAAAAAAAATCGCTGAAAACGTTTGATGAATTTGCCCTGAAATAAGATTTGAAAAGTGTTTATCCTCTCTGTTTCGGGGTTTTCTTGTAGAGTTGCATTGAGCATTCTTAATCAATTCTCTCTCAATTCTACTAGAGAGGGAGCAGTGAATGAGTGGTGATTTCGGTCACAGCCAAAGAGATAGAAGTTGTGGTGTAATGTGGAGTCCCACAGGGGTCCGTACTGGGCCGTATATATTTCATTTTATAAATAATGACGAAGTAACAAAAATTGTGCAGTTTGTTTTGATTTAACTTGTTTTTGTTTTGGAGATGATTTATAGTAAGTATTTTTGGATAATATTGAAATGAAATTATTAAACTTAAAATGTGGTTTGACGTAAAAAAAAAAAAATCATTTATTTTGAGTAAAATGTATAATTTTAGGGAATTGAAAAAAAGAAAAATAAAGTTACTATTGAAGAGGAGGTGGTGTTATGAGAGACTTGGAAACCTCGCAGAGTTTATAAAAAGGTATCGCAACTCCTTCACACTTATAGTTACTGTGTGCAGCAACACATATGTAAACTAATATAAATCCACTATATACACAACAGAAGAGAGACGAATCATAAATTCAAGGAAAGAAACCAACAGACTGTTGATCAAGTCAAAGGTTAAAGAAATAGCTCCTGCCAAAATCAGATTGTTCAGGTTGCATCACATTTCTACCTAAATGTGTTTGCTGTTGTAAATCTGTGTTATAGAAACATGATTTCGACAGGGTTTAAGGAGGAAAGAGGTAGATGAGAGCAACGGACTGTATCCCAAAAGAGTAGACATGTAACAAATATTAATATTAAATTAGTATTAGATTTCAGGACGTGTGTATATGCACTGTATGTCTGAGTTCCTGACTCTTATTCTGAAATTCTATCCTCACACCGTTTAATCAGATTACCGCTGTGAGAATGTTTACAGATCCGACTATGAAAATGTGTTTAACTGCACAACACAGCTTGAAGAGTAAAGAGTGAACATGTAGTGAAAGAGGAGGAGATCGAGTTACTCTTTTATATATGCAGAAGCGCCAAATTATGAATGCTGATTAATTAAAAGTGTGCCAGTTAAACTCTGTCTAACCCAGAATACTCACAATATGAGTTTACAAACCTGTCAAAGCGTTACAGACCTAGAGAGATTTCCACAGGTCCATGGAACTCCCGCTCAACCCCGAGAGGCATAAATCAGTTTAAAAGATTAAACATCTGATTCTAAAATCACCTGAGGATCTATTTCTATGGTAGGATAGTAAAACCTGAACCAGAACCTGGACGAGCATCCACACAGGCAGCAGCGCGATGATCCACCAACTAAAGGCGCCCTGTGGTTCTCAGCCACAGTGTTTTTATGGGTGGGTCCCTAATTTGACTGTTCTCGTGTACGAAGATGCTCGTGCAAGCAAGCGAGCGAGCGAGCGAGCGCCCTGCGAGATGCAACCCTGATGAGATGCAACCCTGATGCAAGATGCAACACTTTTCAACACGTCCTCATAACAAAAAAACGTAAATATGGGTCGTTGTAAGCTGCTGCATAGTCAACCTATACGGCCGTTTCTCTGGTGAAGACAGGCTGGTAAAAACGTGTAAAATCGTCAGCACAGGATGCAAAGAAGACGACTGCAAGCGAGTAAAGATTAATTAACAATTTGAATTTTTGTTAAAAAATCTGCTTTGTCAACGTTTTACGAGGGACAAAATACATTGTTAGAGGCACACAGTGAGTTTTGGTGGGAAACTGAATGTTAGCAGATTTTGTTTCTTCACAAGAAAACTTGACAGGGGCGCTTTAACCAGTCGGTCTGCACTTCACAGCCCGGAGACCGGCAGCAATACAACAGGCCGTACCAGCCTGATTAGACTTTCACACATCTTGTTTAGTTCGGCTGAATCGCACCGGAGTTCGTTTTCCCCCTTGGTGTTCGTTTGGGCAGCTGTGAATGCAGCTGTCGCACTCGGGTGCGAACTCTGGTGCGGTTCGCTTGTGGTGTGAAAGCAAACGAACCAACCACAGGATTTTATGATAGCGGAGACGTGATCTGAGCATTATTTCCAAAGCTGAGCCATCTGCTGACCGTGAAATGTGTTCAGCGATCTTAATAATTGATCTGTTTAAGCCGTGTTATGTTTATGAAAATCCTTGGTAGCATATACAGGTACTTGACAGCGCCGATATTTTCCCTGATTATTAGGTTACAATCTGCTAATTTACGTTGTTATTCATAAAAGGCTCTGTGGTCGATATGTGGTCTAACTAATCATGATTATAATAAATGATTACTTTGTGAGCTCTTTGCGATACAGATCAAAAGCATTAAAGTGCTGCATAAACTTCTGTCAGTCACCGGAGATTGATTTCCACACGTGGGTCCTGATGATGCAGGATGACAATCGCCAAAGCTGTTCAACGAATGTTGAGGTCAAGATGACGTTTGGTCCCTCATCCTAGAGAGGCACCTCAACCTTTGTTGGATAACTACGACCTGGATGACTGACACAATCACCAAAGTTGTTCAATCAACAAGTTACGTGTACGTCTGTGTAACGTCATGGTTACTTCAACAAAGTAAAATACATTGCATAAGAAACGTTAATACAAATGGAA